AAAGACAGTATAAATCATTATAATCCGTAATTATGTCCCCACTGGATGCAATGAATGCCTCGTTTATAATGGGTTTTAATGTTTTTGTCTCGTCACTCTGGCCGGACAGGGCATCACAATATGGTAAGGGGCGTAACATTTCTGTCACACGCTTGAGGTATTTGGCCAATCACAACGCACTGGATAGCTAGCCAATCAGAGCACACCTCGCTTTTCAGACCGATGAGCTTTGTAAAAATCGACACGTTTCAGAAAGGCGGGGCACAGAGGAGAAACATTAATGTACAGTATGTGGAAAATAATGTTATAATAGTAGTATAATAATATTTTTTTGAACCTTAAACCGCATAAACACATTTCATTACACCAAATACACAAAATAATGTTCTTTTTAGCAGCATCATATGACCCCTTTAATTTTCAAAATTAACATATTCACTTAAAATATTAATAAATATGATTATTCATTTTTTTAACACATTGGTCATAAATCCTGAGATTAATTACAGTTACAGTATTTTATTCTATTTTATTTAGAGTTTTAGTGATTTAAAAATAAGAAATAATAAAACAAATATGCATGTAGTTTTGTGGAAAAAAAGAAAACCCGTTACTAGCTAAAGGGGTAAACGGTTGTGAATATTTTAAATACATTTTTAAAGATCTATTTATTTAAAAAAAGCAAGTGCAAAATAAAAAAAGTTTTACCGAAGAAATATTTTATTAAATAAATAAAGTATATTTTGAATAAAAATTTTAAATATTTTGTTCAGATACTATTTAAAAATTTTGATTTGACAATATAATACAGTACAAGTTTTTTGTCAAATATGTTAAATTTATATTATATCTTTTGTATTAATATGAATCAAATGAAATCATCTTAATATAAATGTGTACATGAAAATATATAGTCTTTAGATTTTAGGAAGTGGGTCCTTATACACTGTAAAAAATTATTTTGCGAAGTTGTAACAAAGATTGGAATTTTTATATTTTTCTACTTCAAAGTTGCAAGTTCCATTCAATTGCTTGCCATTAATTTGTAACTGTTTGTGAAGTTTGCTAGAAATTTCTGAGTGAAAACTAAATCTACACCAAAAGTTTTTGGGGGATATATTTGGTGGTACTTGGAATCAAAAAGTTTGAAAGATCCTGTTATTTGCTAAACAATACACAATCATCTAAATGTTTCTTTTACCTCTATTAGGTCCAGAAAGCGAGTGGCGCAATTGAAGGCCCAAGATGCCAGAGCAGAGCAACGACTACCGCGTGGTGGTGTTTGGAGCAGGGGGTGTGGGGAAGAGCTCACTGGTGCTCCGCTTTGTGAAAGGCACTTTCCGGGACACCTACATCCCGACGGTGGAGGACACGTACCGGCAGGTGATCAGCTGCGATAAAAGCGTCTGCACCCTGCAGATCACAGACACAACTGGCAGCCACCAGTTTCCTGCCATGCAGCGTCTGTCCATCTCCAAGGGTCACGCATTCATCCTGGTCTACTCCATCACTAGTAAGCAATCCCTGGAAGAATTAAAGCCCATATACCAGCAGATTCTCGCTATTAAAGGCAACATAGAGAACATCCCCATCATGCTCGTGGGAAACAAGAGCGATGAGACTCAACGGGAAGTGAAGACCGAAGATGGAGAGGCCCAGTCCAAGATCTGGAAATGTGCTTTCATGGAGACCTCAGCTAAGACTAACCACAATGTCACTGAGCTTTTCCAGGAGCTTCTCAATTTGGAGAAGAAGAGGAACATGAGTCTGAACATCGATGGCAAGCGTTCTGGGAAGCAAAGCAGGGCTGACAAGCTGAAGGGGAAATGCAGCATCATGTAGAGTGCTTGTTAGAGCCTGAACTGGCACATGGTGAGGTAAAGCGAAGATATATAGTGATAAAATAACAAAGGAAAGGAACTGAGGAGAGAAAAATGAATGAAGATGGTGTTATTTGCCATTTCATGCTTATTTCCGATAACAAGGATTTTACTCTGACATTTCAAATTTAATCCTTCTCCATCAGTCTTTGGCCTTAACAAGCACTGGCCTGTTCATATTGCCTTGTCTGTTTCTATTACAGAGCATCAGACAGCAATCGATTGCTAAACAGCCCTTTTTGAATTTTTATTAAATAGTTGCTCCTGCATAGCTAAAGCAGAGTCAGGTTTTAAATCGGCCATAAGATGTTATCTAAACATAAGACTTTGCATAATGACGACTAAAATGTTGTTTTGTATATTTATTCAAACGTTCCTGTCAGGTTGAGGAAGTAGTGTCAGTATGAGATTATATGGCAATATAGTCAAAACACCCTTTAATACTTTGTTACAGGTTGTGTAAAATCCACTTTTATTTGTTATCCTCATAACATTTTGATGATTACTTTTGCATGTCCTTAGTTATCTTAAATAATGCCAACCAATATTCACAACAATCGTTTTGTTAAACATTAGGAACATACCATAGAAAATGATGATGCTTTTTTAAATGATTACCTGCAGTTACATCAAGGCAGATCAAAAATCTGAAAGCATATAGACTCCTCATATTTCATGCAGATGCACACATGCTTATGTAAAACAGCAAGTACTCATCATCATCATAATCTCTGGTATTCAGCTGCTCAAAATTGAGACACTTCTAATTTGGAGTGAGCCAGAATCTTCATCTTCTTTTTTATGTTTTTCAAGATAAACTGCTCATATTTTCAGTAAGTATAACTGAGACAATAACAAATTTAGCCCTCTTAAAGTCAATCAGGAAATGAATGCATTTGCAGGAGGTGCATTTTGGCAGCAAAACTAAATTGAGGCTTTCCTAACACAGCCAAAGTCTTCTCACCCTAATTATCAGAGACTAATGTGAACATCGATGAATAGATATAATATGGCCAACTGAAGTTATAAGAATTACATCTTTTATGATTAAGAAACCAAACATTTAATGTTCAAACATTTCAAATGTTTTTCTAGAATTACCACTTTTACTTGCATCACAGTATCAGACATTACAGAAATTTTTGGGTTGAAACAAATTCAGTTTTTGTGCTCTTAATGGCCCTTAGGAAAGCCACAAACCTGTTTCAGTTTTGGTAAGAGAATGCAATCACACTGCAAATCAGCCTTTGACAAAAGAAATCTCTTGTTTCAAAGGGCCTTGATTGTATAGCATTATATGTTTATTTAACCAGCTGATTGCCTTTGTACACTGATGTGAGAAAGAGCCCCTTTAATGTTTTCAGGTTGTGCATTACAGATCTGAGTTGATGCAGACAACATTATTTATCCATGTTGTGCTGGTTTGCTTACTTTACTATGTAAAAAGCTAGTTCTTGAACAGGGTACATCAGAAATGAGTAGCAACAGAAAGCTTTACACAACAGAAAACTAATACAAAATAGCAATTTTACTGATAAGACAGAATTCATATGGTTTATTTTATAGATATTATTATAATAATCCAGTATAAGAAGCAACTTATTAAAAATAAGTATATCGAACATTCAAATATGAATGATAACATTTCACCTGAGTAAAACCATACATTTCATTTCGGCGCAGGTAGAAAAATAGGTTTATAAATATGTAATAGAGTATTATATCCCACCCCCGTATACAGTAACTCTAATATATACTAATGATATACTGTGACAAGCATTGCAATACAGCAGAAAACAATAACATCAGTCATATGTAGTTTCCAGTTTACTGTCAGTAAATATTATGACTCAGCCTGTTGCCTGTGATTGATGTGTATGATTAATATTTTAATATTAGTTCCCTGGATGCCCCACCAACACATTCATCCCCCTAAAATGGTGCTATAATTTACCACCTCTCTACTGGTGACAGTAGTTCTGCTCTGCATGGTTTATGTAAAATACCCTCTTTTATCACTCTGCAGTGTTGCTGATTTACGGCTTTGTAATTTTCTAAATTCAGAACAACGCCTCATCCATCTATCGTGAAGTTTAGACTGCATTCGGATCCATTATACCTGAATCTATGTGTCCAACCTCTATAAAACCCACTCAGCTGGCGTATGAGTCACACTGCTGATACCATCAGAGGCACTGCAAGCTGCACGAGAGGAAAACTGCAGAGCGTCTTGCATTTTACATGCATGGGAAGTCTGCACTCTCTGAAGAGTGTCAGCTACCTGTGATCCTTTTGGTTGGCTTGACAACATGGACTTGCCTCCGCAATGCCAATGCCCACCAGTTCTGTGTATTAAAGTATTTTTTGAACCCATATGCATTTTATCATGCACATTTTATTGTAAATATTTGTAAATTGTATGTAAAGAATATGACACTGTAAAGAAATCATCACTGACTCTCGTCGGATGAACCGACAGGTCATCCCAACAGACATGGACACAATTCCTTCAGTCACTGTTCATGTGTTTGGTTGGAATCCCAGGGGACTTTTTTTGTACATCTGGATTACCTTCATGCATTTTTCAGTTGGTATCTTAAATCTGGTTTACACAGTGAGCACTTTAAATGCCTAAGGGTAATGGAATGTGCTATGAAACATATGTAAATGATGACCTCCATTTCATAATTCAAAATACGCATGGTCCCACGTGATGTTTAGCCAGCATGAGGGCAAGCAACAAAACTATGAAGTGACTTTTCAACTCCTTTCCATTTTTTTTTTGTACAATATTTTGCAAGTTTTTTTAATTATAGATATTAGCTACTACTATGTATGATATGTCCTTTAGCAATAGTCTTCCTAAGACATGGTATGCTGTGCTCACGCATCCCAAATGAAGGAAAATACGGCGTACATATACTAACATATATGTATAGATATATATACCTGCAAATATTCTCTAATAAATCTGCAAATTGATTTTCATAATAAAAACAATTAAAGCAAAAACTCAATAAGCATCTGTTTTCCCCTCCTCTCAAAACAGCTGAATGTAGTCCTATGTACTAAACCATGGCAACATCATGAGGAACACTACACTTTCAGCTGACCCAGGTGTGGATGCTCCAATACACAAATGATGGAATTTACAAAGCAGTAAGGCATAAAAGCACATTCAGTAAACTGCCTCACACAGGCAAGGGTTTTATGGGACAAAACAGACTGAATAGTCAATGTAAAGCTAAGGAATCCAAAATGTATAGACTGATTTTCTTTTTTCTCAACTGACAATTTTCATTTTATATGGGTTCCAAATGTCCAGTGCTTACAATGATATATAAGAGAAATACATGAGAAACAAATAATGATTATATGAGAAAAACAATGCATATAATTAATAATAACAGCACACACATACTGTATATATAATGATTAGAAATTATAATTATATATTTCACACACACACACACACACACACACACACACACACACACACACACACACACAGCGTGAATAGAAGACGGACACATTATTTGTTTTATCCAGCTGTATTTACTCAGTGCAACTTATAACATCCAAGTGAAAGATATAACACCAACACGTCAGAAAAAAAAAAAAAAAAATCAAAAACCAGAATCACTTTGTTGGACACAAGTTGGAAAAAGGATCACCCCCTTGTGTCAGTATTTTGCTGAACCACCTTTTTCTTTAATTACATGCAGCCTTTAGTCTGTTGGGATTTGTCTCTACTAAGGCTTCAAGCTGCAAAGCAACAAAATGTGATTATTTTAAAGAGGGTTGATTCTTTTCTATACCCACTGTGTGTATATATATACCTATTCATTGCCATTACAGTGAAATTACTGAACCTACACATGAGAGCCTGAGAAAAATGCTCATGTTTGAAGAAAATATCAGATGGCACTTAGAGGATTTTGCATCTGAACTATAGATAGATAGATAGATAGATATAATTAGAATTATATTTTATATTATATAACAATATTTATTATTTATTTATATGTGTTATTATTTGAAGTATTACATATTTTAATTGTAACAATTACAAATATATAATTGACAATCATTTATAATATGTTGGTTTCCTTACTAACGTCATGGGATCACAATCAAATGGAGAATGTGAAGGGGAAAAACAAGAAACAAATATTTACAGTCCTGTAGGCTGTATGGTTACAAACCCTTGTAACCCAGTCTTGTATACTCTTTGGTACAAAGAAACCCTACAAATGTAAACTGAATTGGCAATTTTCTTTCCTAATCCTAAAATTTGAATTATCTAATGCCTTAGTATCTCATGTAGGCAAGGAAGGAGCTGAAACATGGCAAGTTGAATCAGGAGCTTCACTATAACGTTTTGAGAATCAAATCAGCAGCACAGAGCAAAAAATGGCTGCTGGGGAACCGGCATGAATCAACTCTCCTGTGATCCACTGCTTCATTCTCTTTTCTCTCTCTCTCTTTCTCTCTTTGCCCCCCGCTTCCCAACAACTGCACCACCTCATTCCTTTCTCAGCAGTATTGCAGTTTCCACACAGACTGTTAGAAGGACCGCTGCTATGTGAGAGAGAGAGGAGAGCAGAGAGAACTGTGACTTCAAAGCACGAGAAAATGATATACAAAATACACTGCCTTCAGCAAAATTTCATGTTCCAGAGGACATAAAGCTAATGCAGTAAAAGTATTTTCCATCCCCATTTATTATAAATACATCACACTGTAAAAATACAGCAACTGTGCTGTGCCAAGTCAAATGTTAGCACAAATCATTTGGGACCTTTGCGAATCCAAAGACACAATGAGAATCCTGGGGCTCCTAAGGGAGGCTGTGAAGTGAGGCAGAAAGACGAGACAAATCGTCCGCATAGTCCTTAAGAGTGTCTCAAAGCAAACCAATAAAGGTAAACATCTTTAACATTTACAAGCACAAAACTCAGGGTAATACATTGGCCAGTTTTATATATTTCATAATTAAAAAGGCCTAAATTATTTTTAGTTTTAAATTTCAGATGGCTTAGTAAACAGGTACACACTCAAACCTAGTTTCTGCTTGTCTGTTTGAACAGTGAATATAAATCAAACTCCCACTGGATACTCTTTCAATATACTGTGCTTAAAAAGGTATTATGTTAGATTAACAGTCCACTATGCTATTAGCTGCCTCACTAAATAATAACTGTCTTTTTAACTGCCACAGGGTACAGTCTATACTTAAACAGTCTTAAACAGTCCTGACTGTATTTTCAAAGCTTTGAAATGCCTATTTCAGATGAGAACCGCAGGGCTTTATGATTAAGCCTGGCTCACTCTGATCTGGTGCCATGTGCCAAATTTGCCTGGAGGTGCAGATCCACCTACAGCATCTAACACATACCTAGGGCTTACTTACAGAAGCAGAACACATCCCACTGAAGCCTGTATTTGCAGTCATGTACGCTACAATAATACAAATGGAATAGCACAGTGGAACTACATTGAGAGGAGCATTTTAAAAAGTCCACCCAAAAGGAACATTTTGTCATTATTTATTCACCCTCATGTTGTTATAAACCTGTATGACTTTCTTCTGTGGAACATAAAACAAATCTCTTTTATACAACGTAAATCAATGGTAACCAGGGCTATGCTTTTGGGAAACGCAGCCCAGAACTGTTTGGTTACCAACATTCTTCAAAAATATATTTTGGTAACACTTTATTTTAAGGTGTCCTTGTTACACATGTTACATGTACTTACTATGATAATAACAATTAATTATGCATAATTACATGCAAGTAACCCTAAGCCAAACCCTAATCCTAACCCTAATCATATAGTAAGTACATGTTAATTTAATTAAAATTACTCAGTACTTAAATGTATAATTACACTGTAACAAGGACACCTTAAAATAAAGTGTAACCTAACATTTTTTTTATATTCTGCAGTTTGGAAGGACATGAGGGTGATTAAAAGATGACAGAAGTTCCATTTTTGGGTAAACTATCCCTTTACTATGCCACAAAGTATATGTGGCATAGTAAAGGATTATTATAATAATATGTATAAAATAAACCATTTTTATTTTTTAATGATCTATTTTTATGTTGTTACTAGCACTTAATTTATAATTTCTAGTAAGTAATTCAATAGTACAATCCTCGATAATCTTTACAAGTAACAACAAAGATTACTACATTTACTAATTACTAGTACTTATTCCAGCAACAATTGGGATAGATAGGCTACTAGTATCTAATAAAAAGTACTTGTAAAGCTGGAATACATAACCTTAAGATTGTTACTAAAAAGGATTGGATTGCTAGCATTTAATAGCACATTAAAAAATACTACTAGTAAAAACAGATAGTAGTTAGTTCAAAGGAATACATTTTAACAATAACACTTGGAAAGAAAGTAAAGAAAAGCGGGAAAAAGGGAAAGAACTAGTCGAAATAAATCAAATATCAAATGATTAAACAACGTGCATATATTAATCGTTGTCAGCAAGTCAGCAAGCAGAGCATACAAAATTGGTAAAAATTTGCTTTCACGTAACAAAAATTTCGTTAACAAAATAAGATTAATGAAATATATGTAGTTTTTCTGTTGTCGTCCTTCTTCCTTAGCACTGGCTTGCAGATGTGTGGACGGTATGAACAGACATTGTGCATCAGCGCCCTCTTGGGTCAGCAGGCGTTACTGCACACTGCGGTGCAAGACAGGCTCGGGTTCGGTGCGCCCAAATGTTTTGGCTTATGAAGACTGGGTCGATAAACCGCTGCGTAAAGTGTGCTTTTATGAGCGCTCGGACAGCTCAAAACCCGAAAAACCCCATAGAGCAGCGAAACAGTTCACCGACAGACGCAACCAAACCCGTTGGCTCCGGATGAGGGTGGAGAGGGCAGAGCTGGCGAAACTGATTGGTTTTCGATTTTAACGAAGAGCCGCCTTATTTGACTCAGAACCGACTCAGCTTTTTCCCAGGAGAGAAAAGCAAGTTTGTGTGCGAGGACGCTGTCACCAGTGGTGGGGGGACTGACTGGGTGGACACTGGTGCACGGAGGGGGTGGTGTTTGTTTGGAGGGGGGGTAACAATCTGCGCGAACCTGGCCCTTTAAATTACCTCCACAATCACTGTAGACGAGGTGAGTATACAACAAGCTCGTATTTTCTTCCTTCATGCACATTATTTCACCATCTCGTGTACAACTTTGAAACCGTATGAAGAAAGTGCTGCCAGTTATGATTAGACTATAAATATGTTGGGTTGTTTTATTTTTAATGCAGTATTGCATATTTATAGGATTGATTTATTGTGAAATGTTTCACTATTAATACAAAAGTCTATTAGACTAGTATATTTTTAGTGTGAAATGGGATTTTTTTAAAAATCGTTATGCTATAGTGCTGTAATAAAAGCCAATGATATTCAAACATTAAATGGTATTATTAGTTGCAAAGAGCAAGACTTAAGGTTTTGACAATTATGATTCAGTGTATGGAGTACCAATTCACAGTCAGTAACCCAAGTGAAAATAGGGTAGAATTTACAGTATGTGTACACTTGCTTGGTTAAAACCTGTCTGAGCATATTTCCGTGTCATGATTAGAGAGGGATAAAAACAAAACCTCACAGATGGTGGTGGGGCAGATTAATTCTGCATAGCTACTAAAAGTAGATTAAGATTGCAATAATGCTAATTCTGACATAATCTGTATTATATGAATTATGTTAGTGGCCTTGCATCAGAACACTGCCCCCTGGTGATCACATTTTTTTTACTTTTTCTAATATATCACTGACTGAATGTTTATAGCCTATATTTTTTATGATATAATTAATTATAATTTATAATTTATTATAATTATATTATAATATAATTATTAATAATAAAATTATTATTTTTATTTATTCATTTATTTATGATATGGTTCTCATAT